GTGGCGCTGTGGCTCAAGTGGTAGAGCTCCAGCTTTGAAATGAAAAAGTTAAAGGAGACTATCCAATCCCACAGTCCAAGCCCTAGTACCATAGCAAGACCAACAGTGGTGCAGATTCACATAGAGAGAAAGATGGAGAGACACCCAGGTGCATGCTTGCTGAAAGACTGAGTGACAGTCTGCAGAGACAGTCAACCCTGTCTCTGCAGGGTTTACCCTGTCTCGGTTTAGAAAGAGAAAGGCAGGCAAACATCCACCTGGGGGAGGGGGTAGGCTGGCAGATGTAGACACACAGAGAGACAAATGAAGACTGAGAGAGAAATCTAGAGACACAACAGGAATAGACACAGAACATGGAAACACAGCCAGAGACAGAGAGATGGGGAGAGCATAGGAATAAGAGGTAGAGCCTGCAGATAAAACCTGGATTGGGAAGGAGGCAGACAGTAAGCCTGGCGATATTTTTTTCCCAAATCACACTTCTAGATCATTCCAGGGCCTAGAACAGGTGGAAGGGAGAGAAAGAGGGCTTGATACCTAAACTGTCTGATATAGGCATAGTGGGCAAAAGGGGCAAAATAGGAACTGTCCTTTGGGAACAGGCTGGTCAGTGACCACCCAGGATCCCAGCGGCACACCCACTGGCCTCACACAGAACCTGGGCCACCCGCCCAGGATGGCCTTCAGCCCGCCCACCGCCTGGCTCCAGTCTGATGTGAGCCAAAGTGCTAGAAGACTTCAGATTCATCCCCTGTTCTCCCCCCCTCCCCCCCCCCCCACCCCAGCCCTCCTCCCAAAGGCTCCTCTTCTTCCTCTTCTCCATTAAATCTCTCCTGGTCCCAGAGAACTCTTTGCTCCTTGGAAAGGGAGGAAAGGGATACTATGCCACCAAAGCCCCCTTTCTTAATTTGAATCTTGACCCCCTCCCCTTCCAAAAAAAAAAAAAAAGCCTCCTTGGCCTGGCCTCTGAGAGACACGCCTGGGAACTCATAAATACCAAGGAGAGGCCAGCCAGGCTGTGTACAAAGCATGGGTCCCCACGCCACCCCCCTGCTCCCCTTAAGCACGCCTGGGTTCTTCCCAAGCTCCCTTTCCCCCCAGACACCTGCATGGTGCAGCAGGGCAGAAGGGAGACTAGAGGCCTGTGTGAAACTGGCCCCCATTCAAGTGAGACCTGCTTCAGTTTGCAAAGAAATCTCAGGAAAGGCTGGTTTCAGGGCCCCTTGTGCAAGTAGCAGGCTCAGGAATTCCTTGACTCCCATCCAAACCTCCCCCCACCCAGCCCCTTCTTGGCCTTTCTCTGCTCATTACCATCCACACCACCTCCCACCCACCAGGAAAGAGAAGGTCATCACTAAAGGGGCCCAGGAAGGGGGGGGGGGGAACTTCCAGGGATAGAGCAGGGCAGAGTAAAGCTATTTACCCACACGCCAGTTCCCCTTAGCTCATCTCTGCTCCAGCTAGGGGCCAGTAAAAATGTATTCAATTCAGCTATGCACAGCTGAGAACAGAGTGAAAGATGAGTCTCTTAAGTAGCCTTGCTGGGGAGTACAGCGTGAGGTGGGGTGTCCAGTGTGAGAGCAGGCTCTTCTCCCATGGGAATCCACTTTTGAAAAAGCAGGGTGCTATGGTGCCTTCAGGAGGAAGAGGGGAAGATTCAGCTCAGCTGGATAGGGTGGCATTAGTTGCCCAGTGGCCCTAAGGGAATCTGGCAGCCTTGGGAATTGGGAGACTCTCGAGTTCGTCAAACTTCTGTTCAAATATATCTGCAGCATGCTACCTTCAACCCTAGCACATGCTGTCCTGAGACAGCTTTTGTTCTTGCCTTCTATGCCATTTAGGATGCCCTGGCCAGTAGGCACACAGCAGGTGCTTAATAAATGCATACATGCTGACTTGATTCCATGCAGGGTCCTCCAGATCTGTATTTGACTCTCTAATCAGAGGCTCCTCCTCCTAGGTTCCGTAACTTTAGAGAAGGATTGGGGAATGAACTGGGAGATAAAGCCAAGGAGCTAGCCTGAGACTCTGGCCTTGACACAGCAGACCCTTGCGTGAGGAGCTGAGCGCTCCAATTGTGTCTAGGACCTTGAGCTTGGACGTTTGTTTTGAGATTTGAAGCTCCAAAGTGGCAGATCCCAGAAAACCTCTTCTCTGGCTCTGTATTTGTTCTCCAAGTTAAGTGGTTGAGTGCAGCTCTTGCAGTCAGCTGGCTCCAGCAGCCTGGGCTGCTCCTGGGGAACTGGGGCCTGGGAGAGGGGGAGAAGGGGTGAAAGGAGCAAAGGCCCATCCTGGGTTGCCTACTTGCTGCAGAGGTGGCCTGTAAGCCTTGGGGAGAAATCTTGTCCCCTGAGTTGTGCTCATTCTTAAGAGTTGCCGGTAGTTTTTTGAGCTGCCCCCACCCCTTTCAGCTTACTCAGAAACATACTTTAATAGCTGATCATCTATGTTGTGCCAAGACACGGTCCCACTCAACTATGAAGACAACTAAAGCCAAAGAAGGGGCCTCAGAAGTGAGTTTGGAGCCCGTGTGGGTGAGTCCACCCCAGGGTAGATGTGATCATCTCCAGCTCCTATCCCACAACCCCCCAGGCCCATATGTAGAAGCAAATGCAGGGCCAGAGTCACACCCAGGTCTAAACACACAGGGGAGTCTGAGAAAGGCTGCTGGAGCTGGAAGACTGCTGTCCTGCAAAGTAGGTGGGGCTGGACTGGGAGGAGGCGAGGGAATGGTCCAAGGAAAGGGGCCCCCGCCAGGAAAGGGACTGGGCTTTTTCGGCTTCCACCTGCCTCTCTCAAGGAAACTGGTCATAGTCTGTGTGTTGCTTTTAAGGCCATAATAGGCCAACCAGAGCCTAGTAGAATGGAGGAGAGGGAAGGAAAGGATGCAGTCCTAGTTCATGTGGCCAGCTGCTGGTTCTGAATGGTTTCTGCAGTGTCCAATGTCAGACAACCTAATGGTGACGGACACCTCCCTTCCATGACTTGGACTATGCTCCATTATTTGAATTCCTCTCCTCCGTCCTAGTTTTCTTGACTCCAGCTGGTTGGTCTTCTCATTAGCCCCAGCACACCAACACACTCCAGCCTTACATTGACTCTGGATCCTCCCAGCTTTTTGCCTCATCTCTGCAAGGCTTTGCATGGATGCCACTGTGATGAGAGACCCTGGTTCTAACTGTGCCCCAGCCCCTTACCCTTCTCTATTTCCCAAAGCCCCTACTACTTTCTGACATATTCTATGCTTCACTTCTCACATGATTTAAAGATTCCCCAATTTTGATTGCCTAGAGAAATAGTTACCATAAATCAAAATCATTTCAGAACAATCTACATGTTAATGGTCTGTTTTCTGCCCCAGTAGAAGGTAAATTCGATGAAGGCAGACATTATTTCGTTTTGCTTTGCTCCATGATGTGTCTTCTGTGCGTAGCACAGTCCTAGCACACAGTAAACAATAAAGATTTGTTGGCTTGAGGAGGGTGTTGGCTCCTGACTGAGAAGTGGGGAGAGGGACTAGAAGCCCCTCTGGACCCGGATCTCCTGCTTCTGCCTCTGAGATGTCTCCAGCCAGCTGGGCCCTATCCTTCACACCCTGGCTTCTCTAACACCCCACCACCCACACAACGACTGACAGTGAGACTGGGGTTAAGAAGGTGGGCACTGACTAGCAAATTGTTTACACTCATACTTTATACTTTAGATAAGTCAGGAGGAGAGGCATGTAGGACACCTGGCAATGGGGGGCGGGCTAAGCTGGAGAAACTGAGGCTGAAGGCAGGGCCAGATCCCAGAGGAAGTCTCAAGTTGGAAGGCACAAGGCTTTATGCTAGGTTTCTCAGCAAGAACCATCCTGTCTGCGGGGACTCTACCTGCCAGCCTGGGAAGTGGGAGTAGGGTGGAGGGGGAGCAGGGGAGGAGATTCTCCAGTTTCCCCAGGACACCGCGTCGGGATGGAGCACGGATGCAGGAGCAGTAGAGATGAGGAAGGTGGGAAGGGTGGAAAGCGGAGGAGCAAATGGCTCCAGGGTTTCTCCTCTCTTACCAGGACCCCCACCCTGGCCTCTGGTGGGGGGGGGGGCGGGGGGAAACGGCCCAGATGTTTCTGATTCTTTCCTACTTGCGGCTCCGCCCGAGAGGGTGGGGGGCCCAGCGCTGTGGGGCCGCGGCCATAAGGCGTCGGGCATCGCCCAGGGCCCGTCGGCGTGTCTCCTCCACGCGGGTTCGCTGCAGAGGCCTCGGTAGCCCGGACGGAACGTCGTGGGAGAAGGAGGAGAGCGCCTGGGAAGGAGCAGGGCCTGGAGCCCCGCTGAGGAAGAAATGTGGGAGTGGGAGTTGGCTTTGTTTCTACCCATTTCACGGAAGCATGGAAGGCACCCGGGTAACACGCGTGCCTCTTCCGTCCTCAGCTCCCCTGTCGCTGCCCTTGTATGCGAGGGGACCCGGGGGGTGTCTGCAGCGCCCTCCCACTCGGCGCGCTTCGCCATCCACGCCGCGTTCCGCGTTCCGAGTGAAGGGCGCTAGGACCCGGTGACGCGGCGCCGGCCGGCCGGGGCTCCCTGGGCGCCGTGGAGCGGCGGCCCCCTGTCGTGTCGTGTCGCCCGGGGAGCAGGTGGGGCGCGGCGCGGCGCGGCGGCGCGAGGAGAGCCCCGGGGGAGCCGACGGGAGGCGGCCGCCACACCTCGGGCGCCGCGGAGCACCGGGGTTGGCGCAGGCGGAGCCGCCCCGAAGGCTGCGCGTGTTCCCGGCTTCGGCCCCGCCCCGCGCCGTCCAATGAGAGCCTGTGGCTGGAGGGGCTGTCCGCGTGCTCGGCCCCGCAGCTCCACTCGGCGCCTCGGAAGCCCTGACACCGCCCCCGGCGCTCCAGCCGCGCACCCCGGGACCCCCAGCTAGCTAGCGTCGTCGGTTTCCCAGCATTGCCGTTCGCGCCCTCCCCGGGACCCCGCGCGGTGCCCCGTTACTCCACGTGACCTTCGATCGCAGCCGCTCGCGAACCCCATGGCCACCCAGAAGGGGGAGGCAGGAGCAGCCTGAGTCACCCCAGACGGTGCCCCGTCCACGCCCCTCCGGGCTGCGCGGCCGGGAGCCTTCGGGGAGCTATGCTGAGGTCCGGTGGTGCGCAGAAAGCCGCGCAGCACGCCCCTCGGCGCGCCCGCGCCCCGACCCCCGCGCCCGCGCCCCGATCTGCCGCCCCCGACGTCTCCCCGGCTCCGGCCCGCCTTGGTCTTGCCTGCTTTTTGCTGCTGCTGCTGCTGACTCTGCCAGCCCGCGTAGACTCGTCCTGGTGGTGAGTGTGGATCTCGGGGCTGGGCGGCGAGGTGCCCCGCGGGCGGGGATACACAGCTCCAGGCACCGGCGGCACCGGGGTGTAGAGCTGGGAGGCAGAGGTGATCCCGCCCGGGACATGACGAGAGTCCATGCGGAGTCGTGCGGAGTCCATGACGAGATCACCGGGGAGGAGATGGAGCACCGCGCCTTACCTGAGCGGGGAGGGCGTGGATGCCCTGGAGTAGAGGCCTGGGCCTCAGGAAATGTCCCCTGGGGCTGGGGAGCCATGCGAGCCTCTAGGGGCAGAAGCCACCTTCAGGTCTTCCCTCCAGGTGGGTCAAGGAACTAGCCGCCCCTCTGAAGCTCGTGGCCGGCTCAGACCGCCAGAGGTTCCCCCCCCCTCCCCGGCCGAGGGGACAGCTGGCCAGAGCAGAGGAGCTTCGTTAGTCTAGCCCACCCTGTATGTATCACAGAATGGCGCTGGTGCGCACCGGGCGCCAAGACAGGAGTGAGATCCAGGCTTAGTTTACCACCCCACCAAATGAAGACTGTCTTCAGTCACGGGTTTGGGATGTCACTGGGGTCGGTGGTTTCTCCCTTCTTGCTTTCCTTTCCCACAGGACCCCACGTCCCATTTCTTCTTTCCAAGAGCTAGAGGCTTCTGGAGTCCCAAAGTAGTGAGAGAACCTCTACTCAGGTTTCTCACTGGCCTCAGACTTAGAGGGCGGAGGAGGCAAAAGACATTACAAATCTACTGCGTATCTGTGGTCTGTCTTTACATACTACCCCCCCCCCCTCCACGTCTCGACCCCCAAGGGCTCCCCAGTCCAGAATGGCACTCGTCCTCCTAGCGCCGCTCTCCTCCTTCCCCACCAAGGCGGGGGGGGGGGAAGGAGGGTGGCAAGGGGGAGACTTGGATTGAGAAAAGATTTGATGCTCTTATCTTTCCTCTACCCCTCCAATCAAACTGGCCTCTTGGACTGGATGAGTGCCCCTCTACCACGCACTGCCCCCCTTCTTTTCCTGACTGTGCCCCTCCTCCTCCCTTTCAACCCCCACCCCCACGAAGTGTGGTCTCTTCTCCTCTTGCACCCTGTGGCTTTTCTCCTCTTCACTTGGAATCTTGGCTGGAAGGGCGAGGGGTAGCTGGCTGAGGGGCCAGCCAGCTTGGGCTGCAGATTCCTATCATTTCAAGATGCGTCTCTTTATCCCCACCCCCCATTTTCCTGTTGAAGAAAAATCTCTCTTTTGGATCTTTTTTATCTCTGTAGTGTTGGAGAAGGCAAGAAGGGGGGTTCTGGATGGGGGAGCAGAGAGGCCTATATCTTACATCTGGCTTGAAACATTCCTTTCGAAGGGAAAAGGGAAGACATGAGACAGGATAAAAGCCTTTCAATGTTCAGAGTGAGATCAAAGCCATCCTTTACCTCCACAGCTTAGTTTGACTTGAATCTCTTAGTGTCTCTGTTGAGAAAGGAGAAAGTGACAGCTGCCCATCTTTATTCAGCCTAAATGGCAATTTGCCTTTAGGAACTCTTGATTGCTCCTTGTCAGTTTGGGAGGGAGGTGATCTTGGGAATCAACTGGTATTTAGATGAAGAAGTATCACTCTGGTAATTTCAGCATGCTGGTAGTGGTTCCTAAAGACCTAAATAGGATTCTTCCTAGTCCCCATTTCTTACCCTCCCCTCCCCTCTTTTTTTTTCTTTTCTCCCTCTCCTGTCCTCCTCCCACATGGTTCATATTAATGATGGTGGAAAAACTCTAAATGGAAGAGTGGGAAGGGAGCGGGGCTGACGTGCAGAGGGACTTAGCAGTCCCTGTGAAATGGAAGCTGGCACAGCAGGGCCAAGATGGGCAGTGGGTGCACAGGTTGTTTCCATCTCCTTCCCCCACCTGTCACAGCTGCAGCTCAGGACGCCTGCCTCATTGGTAACCACTTCTAGGATAAGATGAAAAGCTGAATTCTGAAGGCAGGTCAGGCCTCCAAGGGAATTTATCTATTCCCCTTCAGAAAATCCTAGCATGACTGATACAACCCCTGGAAGAGACAGATGCCCGTTGACGTGGTGTGCCCATGCTCTCCTGAGGAACAGAAGAGCATCACTGTTACCAGCTATGATCTTTCATAGCCTCAGATTCCTGCCTTTCATCTCCAATCACTCCCTTCCGACTTGTATCCTGAGAGGAAATGGTTTCTGCTTAGTTTTTGATAAACAGTAAGAAGTAAGGGGCTCCCACCATGAGCTTGTTTCATCTTGCAGGTGTTAGCAGAAGAGAATCAGGAGCGTAGGGCTGTACTCATGGCTTATAAAGAGAGGATCACAGGGTAGTGTCATAGTAACACTACTGTTACAAACAACAGTTGCCAATTAGTGAGCCCCTACCAAACTCCAGGCATGATAGCCAAGCTATGGTAAGTATTATCTTTGTTAATCCCCTGAAGACTCCAGTGAGGTAGGTATTACTATTGCTTGTTCACAAATGAAGAAAGTGAAGAAGAGAGGGATAGTAAGAAATTTGTTCATGGAAATGGCACTGTGGCTCAAGTGGTGGAGTGTTAATCTTGAGCTGAAGAGCTCAAGGACAGTGCCCAGGCCCAGAGTTCAAGCCCCATGACCGACCAAAAAAAAATTTTTTTTGAACAATGGGTGTTAACCTAAAAAACAAAACAAAACAAAAACTCTGCATGTCTCTCTTGCCCCTGCAGTAAAAATACAAACCGTGGGCCAAGCATGGTGATATTTACATAATCCTAGCACTGTAGAGGCAGGCAGATCACAAGTTTGAGGCCAGCCCATGCTATACTGTAAGACCATCCTAACAAAAGAAAACAAAAACAAAAAAATGAACTTGGAATTTGGAGCTGGATGGGCTTCCTTCATCCAGGTTCTCCTCCAACTAGCCCTAATGGATAGAATACTCTCAATATCCTGAAACTGAAGGGAACTGAAAATTCAGTTTCTTTAACTATTGAGTGGAGTTTTCTCTCTCTCTGGCACCCCCCCCCCCCCGTGTGTGTGTGTGGGGGGGGGGGATTTTTGTACAGAAAAATATTTTGTGAACTGTAAAGTACTATACCAATGATGTGGTTTAAAAGCAGATTTAGGGAAGTTAATAGCTTTATCTCTATACTCGAAGTCTTACAAGTACCAAGTAAAACCATATATATATATATATATATATATATATATATATATATATATATGTACACAAAAACAAGAAAGGGGAAAAAAAAAAAGATTCCTGGCCTCATGAAAAGGGCACAAACAGAATATCTACAAATAGACTGACAGGTTGACACAGAATAAAACTGTAATAAAACTATGGCTGGTGAGGAGACAGGGAAGTTGGAGATAAATCAGAGAAGTTAGGTGTCCACATAGTACCCACTATGTGCTTGACACTTTTTTTAAAAATACATTTTTAATTTACAATGGAAAGGTTTTCATCCCCCCCCCCCCCTTTTAGGTCTTTGAGGTTTCATTGTCTTTGTGCTAGTACCAGGACTTGAACACAGAGCCTCTTGCTCTCAATCAGATGATGGATCTGTGCCACTTGAGCCAAGCCTCTAATACGACATTTTGTTGGTTAATTTGAGACTGTTTCTTGGATTTTCCTGCCTAGGCTGGCCTCAAATCATTACCCTTCAATACAAGACTTCTGAGTAGCAATATTACAGAAGCAGACAGCCACAGTGGGCTCAGAATAGTGTTCTCTTTGGTCTTATTTTTGGTCGTTTATGTAGTTGGCCTTTCCTCCCTTGTGATTAAGCTCTCATTTGTGTTTAGGATTAGTTCATCACCACATGTTAGTGCCATGTCTTGGACATGTTTTTAGTTTGTCCTCCAAAGGTTTATGAACTGGAAACTTGGTCTTCAATGTTGGTGGAACCTTTTAAATGGGGCTAGTGACAGGGGTGGTCAGAGGCACTGCCATTGGCCCAAATGAATGCTGGCCTCAAGGAATGACTTGATTCTTCACAGTGAATGGGTGGTTAGAGAGCAAGCTCTCTGTTTCAGCTCTCCCTCTTACTTCCTGCCTCAACTCTGTGAACTCTCCCTCCTTATGTACTAGAAACTTCTCACTCCTGGAAAATACTGAAGTTAATAAAAGATCAGAAATCTCCATCTTCAAAAGGGCAATGTATTCACATCAGGTTGGGATCTTCATAAAACTCAAATTCTGATTCAGTAGGCCTGAGGATAGGTGTTGAGTTGTGCATTTCCAATGACTCCCTAGGTGATGCATATACTACTGCTCTGGGGACCAGGCTTTGAGGAGCAAGGGGCAAAAGAATTTGTCAAAGGAAAGAATGTGAACTGGCTAAAAGCCGGTGAACAGAAGTCATCTGGTGCAGGAGGTGGGGAAGGAAGTAAAGCATTAATTTCTGGAAAGGAACAAAAAGACCAAAGTCAAAGTCTCTGGGTATACTCTCCTGCACCATGAGAGGGAGGGGTACCTTAAACATTTTTGTGCCTCAAATAACCGAACTCCGTGCTTGGCACAGAGTTTTTTTGTAAGCATGATATTAACTGAGGTCCAACCTGAGGCTTAGCACTGTCGAAGCTCCTTACTCCAAGTGACTACAAAGGATGAATTATTGGACAACAGGCAAACTCCATGCCTGCAGTGTCTTGAAGCAGTTACTGAGTGGTATAGGCATGGTAATAGAAAAGCTTAATTATCTTCCCATCTTAGATACTGAACACACATGTTCCCACGCTCATTGAGAATGTACTAAGAAGGACCAATGTGGGCTGAATGGATTTAAGTCAGACCACAGAAAGGCCTTTTTGCCAGAGTTTGGCCTGTCTCACTCCAGACTGTCTCATGAGGGCTGGATTATTGGTCTCCCATTCCCATTTAACCCCCCTCCTCCCAAGCCTCAGTAGAAAACAAAAACAAATACCCATTGCCCAGAACACTACTACTCCAGGGCTGAGCTGGGGAGGCAGAATGGTGGTGAGACAGGGACCAGCTCCAATTCCAATGGTCTTGATTCTCCAAACAAAGCACCACGGCAGTGGGTGTAACTCCAGGCTGTGCGTCAGGCAGCCCTTTCCGGCATGGCCAGCCTGGGGTGTTTATTTTGTTTGTTCCTGGAAGCTGCTGCCCTGATGGACAGTGCTGGGGACGCTGATTCCATGGGATTTGTTAGTACAGGGCCAGCCCTCTCATCCCTCCCTCAGCACAGATGGGGCCCATCAGCCTGCTGAGTTCCCAAAGAGGCAAGCATCAGCCCTCCTTGTGTTTGTTTGAGTTGGTGTCACCAGTGGTGATCCAGCCTGTGGGTGAGAGCTGGCTGTGGGAATGCATGTGGGTGGGTGGGGGGAGCAGGACCCAGAGATGCCCTCCCTTTTCTTCACACATTTCTAGGCACATTATAGGGCTGGTTCCAAACAACTGGCATAATCACAACATATACCAATGCTTTACTGTAGTAGAAACTGCTTTCCACAGCCCCTACAGCAAATTAGACAAATAGGGAATGTCCAGCAAAGTATGGAAGGTGTTAAGAAAGCAGAAAGGAAGAAAGAAGTTGTTAGCTCTTTTCTCAAGGAAGTAGGTGGATGGGTCTGATTTCTTTGGTGGCCTTTTGGGTACAAAGGATGATATACTCCTGTTTTATCTCCAAAATGCAGTGAGGCTTGTGGTAGAGTCCAAGCATAAATGTTTGAAAGAAGAGAAAATATTGTCTTAAGAAATCTGAGCTGGGGGGAATGTGGCTTAGTGGTAGAGTGCTTGCCTTGCATGCATGAAGCCCTGGGTTCTATTCTTCAGTACCATATACACAGAAAACGCTGGAAGTGGTGCTGTGGCTCAAGTGGTAGAGCATTAGCCTTGAGCAAAAGGAGCTCAAGGACAGTGCCCAGGCCCTGAGTTCAAGCCCCAGAACTGGAGGGGGGGGGGGGTGGAGAGAGAGAGAGAGAGAGAGAGAGAGAGAGAGGAAAAAAAGAGAAAAAAAATCTGAGCTGACCAATAACAACAAAAGATAACTGAGCTGGGTGCTGGTGGCTCACACCTATAATCTTAGCTACTCAGAGGCTGAGATCCTAAGATCTCAGTTCAAATCCAGCCCGGGCAAAAAAGTCTATGAGACTCTCATCTCCAATTAACCACCAGAAAACCAGAAGTGGAACTGTGGCTTAAAGTGGTAGAGTGCTAGCCTTGAGCAAAATAGTTGTAGGGATAGCACCAGGTCCTCAATTCAAGCCCAACAACAGACCAAAAAAAAAAAAAAAAAAGAAAGAAAGAAAAAGAAATCTGAAAATGAATCTAGTAACCTATCTATCCTTTAATAGCTCATTCTGATTGATCTTATAATGGTTTTTATTGGACAGACGGGGACTGGGCTGCTTCATCTTGCCCACTGAAAACAATCACTGTCCACTCATTCCCATTGAGAACACTGTGCCTAACAGGTTGGAGAAAGTGATTTTAAAAGCTTCATTATTGGGCTGAGAAAGTGGCTCAGTGGTAGAGTGCTTGCCTAGCATGCATGAAGCCTTGGCTTCGATTCCTCAGCACCACATAAACAAAAAAAGCCAGAAATGGTGCTGTGGCTCAAATGGTAGAGTACTAGCCTTGAGCAGAAAAAAAAAAAAAGAAGCTCAGGGACAGTGCCCAGGCTCTGAGTTCAAGCCCCATTTGGCAAACAAACAAAAAACAAAGCAAAACAAAAAACCCCAAACACCCAAAAGCGTCATTACTTAAGAAAAGCCCTGGGCACTAGAAATGGAAGAAATGAAGAAGAGAGTTGGGGGTAAAGTCTTCTGGGTTGAAAATGAGGATTTTTTTTTTTAAACTACACGAGTTGAACTAGAGCTATAAACATTACTCAGACATTGCCCACTATGTCTTTTCCTGCCAGCTCTTTCCTCCCTGTCACCCCTTTCTCCCCTCCCCCGCCTTTGGCAGCCAAATCTCATGGACCAGCCACTCAGGATATGCCTCTTACATGTGGGTTTCAAAGTGTTGTTTCAGACCTTCATTTGTTAGTTTATTTTTCTCTGAGTATTGTAATGTTTATTAAATAAACAGGCAATGGGTTTGTGTGACATGCCCACAGCTTCTGTATATATGACACATGCCTGGCTTGTGTTCTGGGAGTGTGTGTCACTTCTGGCCTTTGGCTGGGGAACTGGTAATGGTGGGAGACCACTCAATTACTCTTTCTGCAACTGAGTAACTATTTCTCTAGAGCTTGTGGGGAATGGCTCTACTCATCACCATCAGGGATGTGGGTTGGTGGGGAGGAAAAGGAATCTAAGGTCTAGATAGCATACCAACCATTCCTCAGGGCCCTTATTCTCCTGATCCTCCTGATGTAGAACAAGGTTGTTGTTGTATCTTACAGGTACATTGGCGCACTGGGAGCCCGAGTGATCTGTGACAACATCCCTGGTTTGGTGAGCCGGCAGCGGCAGCTGTGTCAGCGTTACCCAGACATCATGCGCTCTGTGGGTGAAGGTGCCCGAGAATGGATCCGAGAGTGTCAGCATCAGTTCCGCCATCACCGATGGAACTGCACCACGCTGGACAGGGACCACACTGTCTTTGGTCGTGTCATGCTCAGAAGTAGGGGCCTTGTCCATCCTGCCCCAGCTCCTTCCCCTTCTGTGCTTGGGGTGGTGAGTGGGAAGGGTAGTTATAATCCTTGCTCTCCTCTCCCACACACTACTTTATAATCAGAGGAACAGTTGTGAGTAGAGCTCAGGATACAGTTAGGAACAGACCCTTACAGGTAGGGATCTCTCCCAATCCCAGTACTCTAAGATGGTTAACAGATAATTTTATTTCCTGGCACCTCCATCTTTCTCCTTTGTTTTCTCTGTACTACGGTTCCCAAGCCTGAGGGTGCTTCCATACACTGAAAAGGTGAGAACTATGAAAAGTTCTTTTGGTTCTTACCATCATTATCATGTCACTACAGTAATGGGAACAAGACATAGACAGAAAGGTAATAATGTAAATATTTGGAATCAGTGGCTTGGCCCTAGCTCAGCAAAACAGCTAAGCAAGACTAGGCTGGAAGCTAGGAGAAATGGGATGGGAATAAGATGGGAATCTGAAGGGTGCTGGTGGTAATGATCATCGATATGCAGCAGAAAGGGGAGTTCAGCAGAAAGTAACATGTCTATTCAGACAGGTTGTCCCTTGGGTCTGCATTATGGGAAACTGTCTAGCAGAGGTGGCTGGAAAGGCTTGTTACGTGGACTAAAGACAGCTAACTAACTATACCAGTGTTAGCACTCAGTGAGAAGGAATGATTCAGCTTGGTACTTTGGTGGAAGGACCCAGGGAAATTGGAAGGAAATAGGAGTATAGGTCAGCTATATAGGAAAGTGGGTAGAGAATAGTGAGGGCTAAGGAGAAGGGATCAGATACTCTGAGGAATGCTCTTAGAAAGGAAGGGCACCTTGAATAGAGTGTAGAGATGGCTCTGGAAAAAAGAGAGAGAAGAGATTTCAGGGGTTATGGTGAGCTGAAGAAATGTATGGGCAGAGCCACAGGTGTGGCACATGTCTGTAATCCCAGTGTGTGGGAGGATAAAGGCAGAAGATTTTGATTACTTGGCCAGCCTGGGCTACATAGTAAAAAGTAAAAACCTGGAGGGACAGACATAGGCTTGTTTCCTGAAATGCCCCTCTACCCTTTCTCTCTTTAGGTAGCCGAGAGGCAGCCTTTGTATATGCCATCTCATCAGCAGGAGTGGTTCACGCCATCACGCGTGCTTGCAGCCAGGGAGAACTGAGTGTGTGCAGCTGTGACCCATATACCCGTGGTCGACATCATGATCAGCGTGGGGATTTTGACTGGGGAGGCTGCAGTGACAACATCCACTATGGTGTCCGCTTTGCCAAGGCCTTTGTGGATGCCAAGGAGAAGAGGCTAAAAGATGCCCGTGCCCTCATGAACTTACATAACAACCGCTGTGGTCGCACGGTCAGTGCTCATATCTGGGTATACATACTCACATTTTCTAGGGTGACTAGTCTGTATGACCAGAGCCTAAACGTGCAGGTGGGTCAGTGCTCATATCTGGGTATACATACTCACATTTTCTAGGGTGACTAGTCTGTATGACCAGAGCCTAAACGTGCAGGTGGGACAGGAATGTAAGGGAGCTTAGGAATGCTTGGGTTCAATCAAGATTCTATACTGGTGAAAAGTAGAAAAAGGAAGTGAAGTAACTATTTTTTGGTAGTGCTGGGGTTTGAACTCAGGGCTTTGCACTTGGTAGGCACTCATTTTACTGTGTGAGCCATGCTTTTCGCCCTTTTTGCTCTAGTTATTTTTGAGATAGGATCCCACTTTTTGTCCAGTTAGCTTGGACCACAGTCCAATTTTTGCTTACTGCTGAAGCTAGATGTCAGGCAAGATTCTCTTGTGCCTGGCTGAAAAGAAACTTTTTTTGTGTGTGTGCTCATCTTGGGGCTTGAACTCAGAGCCTGGCTGCTGTCCCTGAGTTCTTTGTTCAATGCTTGTTGTCTGTCACACACAGCTCCACCTCTGTCTTTTTTGGTAGTTTATTAGTTTCATGAACTTTCTTGCCTGGGTTGGCTTTGAATGGTGATCCTCAGATCTCAGCCTCCTGAGTAGTTAGGATTACAGGCATTAGTCACCAGTGTCTGGTTGAAAAGTAACTTTTTTTTTCTTTTGCAGTTGGGGAGGCTTAAACTCAGGGTCTGGGTGCTGTCCCTGAGCTTTATTGCTCAAGGCTAACACTCTACCACATTAAGCCACAGGCCCACTTCCATTTTTCTGGCAGTTAACTGGAGATAAGAGTCTCATGGGCTTTCTTACTTGGGCTGGTTTTGAACTGAGATCCTCAAATCTCAACCTCCTGAGTAGCTAGGCTTACAGGAGTGAGCCACTAGCAGCACCTGGCTGAAAAATAATTTTTTTTTTTTTTTTTTTGGGTCCCGTTGTAGGGCCTGATTCTGGGCCTGGGCGCTGTCCCTCAGCTCTTCAGCTCAAGGCTAGCACGCTACCACTTGAGCCACAGTGACACTTCTGGCTTTTTTCTTTTTGCTTATGTGGTGCTGAGGAATTGAACCCAGGGCCTCCTGCATGCAAGGCAAGCGCTCTACCACTGAGCCACCTTCCCAGCCCCAAAAATAACTTTTAAAGAGAAAAACTGCCTTCATAAAAGCTGAAAATTAAGAAATGGTTCTAGTCTGTTCATTAGTATGTGAGCACCTCTTGCAAACTATGCTGAAAATAACACACTACAAAAGCATGGTACTTAGCCCTCTAAAACACATGAAAACTAAAGGATGTGCTGTAGGATGAGTACTACAGCTCAGCAGTCCAGCAAGTATTATGACAATCCAAGCACTTGGTCCAGGAAAATTTCTTAAAAGAAACTTGATCAGCAAGAATGGATGTGGGAAAGAGCTACCAATGGCTCAAACAGCCAGCCTGGGTTAGCAGATTTCAGAGCTCTTAGGGGAACAGAACTGTCCTGTCTAGTGTTTTTCCCTGACCTGCCTCCATCCTCCCTTAGGCTGTGCGGCGATTTCTGAAACTGGAGTGTAAGTGCCATGGTGTGAGTGGCTCCTGTACTCTGCGCACCTGTTGGCGTGCACTCTCAGATTTCCGTCGTACAGGTGACTACCTGCGGCGGCGCTATGATGGGGCTGTGCAGGTGACAGCCACGCAGGATGGTGCCAACTTCACAGCAGCTCGCCAAGGCTATCGCCGTGCTACGCGGACTGATCTTGTCTACTTTGACAACTCCCCAGACTACTGTGTCTTAGACAAGGCTGCAGGTGAGAAAGGAAAGCAGGCAGAGACATGGAACCCGGTTCTTAATACTGCTGGTTAATTGTCTTGGTCTGTTTAGTTGTAGGAGTTCAGGAAGGGAGTTCAGTCACCTCCCTACATGAAAATCTGATCCTGAGACTGGTGACTCCTTGAGGCCTGCCTGTGGTTATGTATTATTTCTTTGTATAGCCAACCTTCAGGATATTGTAGGCACTATTCAGAAGATTAAATGAACCACCTGTTTTCAGTTATAAGCAATGTGTGGACTACACACAGCAGCACTAGTTGCAGCATTAAGCCTCTGCCTCTTTACAGTCTACCTGAAGAAATGAGATTAAGGCTGTGGCTGTAGCTGGTTGGTATAGTACTGCCTAACTTGTGCAGGACACTGGGTTTGGTCTCTAGCACAACACACAAACAAAATATGAGATGCATGGTGGGTATGTAAATATAACTGTAAAGGGAGATGACTGGAATAGGAAGAAAAGTTTATTTGAAAATGGGATATTTATGCTGTTCCTTGAAGTGTGGTGATTATCTGGATAGCAAGAGAAAAGAATAGGCAGAAATGTTCTGTATTTGAGTAAAATGGTAGGTGGGACAGAGCAGATCAGTGTGTCTGAATAAAAGTGTCTGGCAAGGGAGATTAAAGCTAGAAAGACAGGTTGGAACCAGGCCACAAATGATCTTGAAAGGCTTTATCCAGTGTGCTGCCACTGAAAATTTGAAAGTGGAGTCAGAGAGGCAGGGAAGGAGTTCTGTACAAAAGCAGGTATAGCTGGGAATGGCTGCCTTTCAATCTACTTTAGCTATTTAGTGGTGGAATTCCTGGGAATGCAGGGAAAGTGATAGGGTATCTCCCCGAGAGAGTGGAAGTTATCATCCTGCCTCATAATTTCTGGCTCCAATAGGTTAAATAGTGTAATAGAACTGCTTTTCTTCTGGTTACTGTCATGGGGCTCCCAGGCTCTTTTCTGCAGACTCAACATTCAGGACTTGGGTAAAGTGGAGCCAAAAACTTAAGCTGTCTTCTGCACTGCTTGTCTTCACCTATCACTGTCATTTCAGAACAAAGCTACACAGAAACAGGGTGGAGCTCTACCTGAGTAGCAGAAAGAGTTGGTGTACTTTGTAGAGAGCTAGAAGAAAAAGGGTTAAAGAGTCCTTTTGACTCCATTAGTGATTTCCTGCCATTAGGTATGTTTCCACATGGACTTACTCAGAGGGTTAGCCTCTGGAGGTTTAGAAATCATTTCATAATATCTGAAGTATAACCCTATTTCACCATATCAAAAATGTACCTTTGGAGAGCTAAAGGTGTGACTCAGCCATAAAGTGCCTGCCTAACAAGCATGAGTTCAAATCCTTGTATACCACCATCACAAAAAAGAAAGGAAGGAAGGAAAGATAGATGGATCTTTCAAGTTACAAGGGAGGATGAGTAATATATGTGCTCATTTTTCTCAGAAGCATAAAATTAGCTCTCAGAAACCCAAAGCAGTGCTTTGAGGTCAAAGGAAATATGACATCCTCAGAGAATGGATCCACGTTTTCCCTCTAAAACTCTACTGTCCAGCTGAACTTTCTGTGATGACAGAAATGTTCTCATAGCTATGTCCCCTGGGTACAGTAAAAATCAGCCACATGTAATTATTGCCTACTTGAAATGCAATAGTACCCCTTATCTGTGAAAGTGTGTTGTAGGTAATATACCAAATCTTAAATATATTTTGCTTTTGAAATTTCTTGCCTACGTGCTTGCCTGGTGCTCTGAGCCATGCCCACAGCCAGACTTTCTGCATCTTATTTTGGGGGTAAAGTCTCACAGACTTTTCTGACTGGGCTGGCTTCAATCAGCAATCCTGTGGATGGTCCAGCCTCCTGAGTAGCTAGGATTACAGGTGTGAGCCACCAGCACTTATCCAGTCATTCTTTAATGGCCACCCTATACTTCTTCCCAGTATAATATATCTTAGTGAAATAGCAACTAAGGACCAAAATACTAACATGGTAGCAGGATCAGAGTTGTGGGAAGATTTCTTAGAAGAGGTTTTGTTGTTTGATGTATTTCCAACATAGTTATGTACACTGGAAGATTCAGTTCTGAAGAGAATCTAGAAATATATTGGCAGGGAGGGAATTGCAGGTGGGCTCAGTGATCTTTTTGAATCCATGATGGTGCAAAGAAATGAGACTAGTCTAGGAGGCTATGAAGAGTTTTCATGGCTAGTGGGTACATTTTTAGGGAAAGTGATTATGGCTTCCTTCTGAGGATGTGATTAAGGTGCTCAGAGTAGCTGAAGCAAGAGGTAATTTGGTTCTCACTCCCTTTTCTTCACCAACCCAGGTTCCTTAGGCACCGCAGGCCGAGTCTGCAGCAAGACATCTAAAGGAACAGATGGTTGTGAAATCATGTGCTGCGGTCGAGGTTATGATACAACTCGAGTCACCCGTGTCACCCAGTGTGAGTGCAAATTCCACTGGTGCTGTGCTGTGCGGTGCAAGGAGTGCAGAAATATTGTGGACATCCATACTTGCAAGGCCCCCAAGAAAGCAGAGTGGCTGGACCAGACCTGAACACCTAAGATACCTCACTCATCCCCTCCACTTCAAGCCTCCCAACTCAAAAGCACAAGATCCTTGCATGCACACCTTTCTCCACCTGCAACCCTGGGCTGCTACAGCTTCTATTTAAGGACATGGAGAATAATGCAGAGGGACCATGTGTCCTGGTTGGTTCCTTAGCCCTGGGAAGGAGTTGATAGAGGATATAAAGAAACTGAGTGGGTTTCCTGACTTCCCCTCTGGAGGTTTGAAGAGAGAGTAGAAGAGGTAGAGAGTCTTCAGAGTGACTCAAGTTGCACTAAATTACCTGGTCAAGGCTTTGCCCACCCCTTCCCTTGATACGTCTTGGGTGTATAATGGGAAGGAAACATGGTGATAGCTTTCTTTTTTGATCCTACCCAGCTGAAGGTAGACAAGAGAAACAAAACTGCATGTCCCTTCCATGGAGACAGTTTGAACAGACTGCCCGATTCCTTGAAAGAAAATCTTAGGCTTCATACATTATCCTACTGTTGAGAGCCTGAGAATGCTAGATAAGATGGTAGACAGGTTCCATTCACATGCTCATATATAGTTTATAACCTGCTGTTTTGTAGGAGAAAAAAATAATAACTATACAAACACATTCTTTTTCCATTTCCACCTTTATCGACAGCAGTCTGTTCACTTACTGCCTGTTCAGACTGAAGTGGCATACAGTGGTTGATTCTCAACTCTAACAGATTATTAGAACACCTTGGAACAGTACAAGAAGAGAGTGTACAGTATATCTGGCTAGACCTTGGGATTCACCCTCATTCCCATACATTATTCTGGAGGCTAGCTAGGTTTTAAAACCCTGAGTAAAAGATAGGAAACTCATGGAGGGCAGGAGAGGATCAGAAAAGCTGATCTCTAGGACAACCTGAGAATCAGTATATTCTAGGAAGATAGATACCTCTAGCTTCAATAATTCTTTAGGAGAGGATCCAAATCACTGAAGCTAGGAGCTATGGCTACACAAAGAGCTGGGGCTTGGAGCCAATGTGGTAAGCAACCTAGAAGGCAGTAGCCTGCCCTCATTTACTCAACAAATATTTAGTGACTCTCCAAGTCCTGGTAATTATTCTTGTTCATTCCACATTTGGCTTCAATTGGGCAGAATTCCTTCTTTGCTACTAACTTCTGCCTAACCAGGTTTTCAGTAGTGGAATCCCTAGAAATAGCAGATAGCTGGAGGATTACACGGAGTCTGAAACTGATGTCCTAATTTTATGTGACTTGGACAATGGTTATCTCTTGCTTTGTTGATAAAACAGTGAAGTGGTATAGAAATTTGCAGTTTTGACAGTTCCAAGTTTAAAATCATAGTTGTGTCACTTTTTTTTTTATATTTTCAGGAAGATATTTAAATTCTTTAGCCTCTTCTTTTTTCCATCTGTACAATAAGAGTATGTACCTATCATAGATACTGAATTTAATTATGCTCCCAAAAGGCAGCCAATGGACACTGTTCACTGAAGCCCCTGACTTTCAAGCCCATCTTAACCTCTTGAAGAACTTTTGGTTTAGGTCTGTCTAATCTTGACAGCAGTCTACCAATTGGGGAGTTTACACAGAGGAGTCTAGATACGGGCTCTCTTTCCTTTCTCAAGTTCCTCGCTAACATCCCTTTGGGTTCTCATGTTTGTGGAACATTTTTGCTCTGCACAGGCAGCAGGAGGTTCAGGGAGCCTTCGTTCTGGCCACAGAGGCAGATTTATTTGGATGATAGGACTAATATTTGTGTAACCTGCTGAGACCTGTGTGGGAGAGTTTAGGGTGGTTTTTCTTTTGGTGAGGGGATTTGCTCCGGTTTCACATCCATTAACACAAAACATGAGCTAGTCAGGGCTCTTGTGGTCTGTGGTGAGGGGATGCCTGTGGAGAAATGGGACCGAGTGAGTCAGGCCAAGGGAATGTCATCCTTGCAGAATGTAGTCAACTGGATAACTGATGAGCCAGTAGTGGAATTAGGGAGGGAGAAATGGGAAGTGCAGAGAGGAGCATCTTGGGTGGGGATTAAGAGAAGGAAAACTTTGGAATAGTGGGGAAGTTTGGGGTCGTAATCAATATGAATTGAAGCATAGGTTGGGTGAATTGACAAATACTGCCTTGTGTACCAGGCTACTGGAAAGAGCCTCAGGTCCCTGCTCTTACAGGAATATCCAAGTCACCATATCAATGAGAGGTGGCATAGGTCTTGCATGGGGAAGTCAACCTGTGTTTAAATTCTGTTCCCAGTAATGTTATTTGACTTGCAGTTCTTTCGCTGTGGAAAGAAGTAGGTGCACCTTTTCTGGTATCTCATAATACTCAATTTTCCCCTGGGCTTCAGTACTAGCTCACAAAGTGGCAGGGTTTCCCATTTCTTCTAAATGGTTAAGAGAACAAGCTGTCCAGAGTATGAAGTTAAAAATAAGGTATCTGAATCAGAGAAAAGATGTCCATTTGAGCCCCACTATAGAAACTGTGTGGCTGCAATGGAAATGATGGCCAAACAATTCTTTCTTAGTCCTTAGCTTGCCTCTGCATTCCAGTTGGCTTTGGACAACTGGCATTCATTCTGCACTATACAAACAGAAACTAATTTATTTGGAGCAAGCATCAAAACAAGAACTCTATTTCGTACCATCAGTTTTGCTGCTATTTCCTCACTCTGCCCCTAAGAGCCCTCTTTTCCATCTTTCTTATTTGATAGAAGTCTGTCCTTCCCATCAGCAATGTCTTAGCCTATCTCCTCCTACTCCATGTTGGTCCTTTTTTTAAAACTTTTGATAAACATTTAGGTACACTTCATTTAAGCAAGTGCTCTTTGGATACAAGTTTAACTTAAAAGATACTGCCTCTATCCTACAAGAACGTTTTAGAGAAGGTACATGACCGAAGTATCTCATCTGCACAGACTATGGCCAGTTTAAGTAAAAGTAAGAATGCCAGCTTTAACCTAGACCTGCAGAAAAGAGCCAAGTTTTATTATTATTAGCCTTGAATAATGGCACTCTTTCTTTAGAGTGATGCTGGGAAATCAAATTAAAGACTTGAGATTAATTAAAAGAAGCAAATACTATCCTGAGATCTGTTTGCAGAAAGTTTTATAGCTCTGGCTTCTTTTCCTTTCTTAATTTCTTTTCTTCGTTGTTGCAGACAAGTTTCTCCTTTCTCTCATCTGTTATCAAGAGCACCAACTACCAAACCCTTTGCCAAATCTCAGACCCACTCAGGACATGAGTTTCTACATAGTTTAATGGAAGATAGATAACCAGGATTTTTTCCCTCAGCCTTTCTGAATTTTTTATTTAGATGTTCTCAGTGGTCATAGGGCAGAAGCTAGCTGGGAAGAAGGGAGGACGCCAGAGAGAGTATGTTTCTCTCCCTGGGAGGCATTCAGCCTAGCTCCTGCAGCCAAATTACAGCACCAGAGAACAATGCGATGCATTCCTGGGCAGGTCGGTGGGACCCTGGGCGCCTGGGCCTTGTGGAGAGAGGTGCCAGACACAGAGCTCTCCGTAAGCAATCCTGCAGAGCCGCCCCCTGGGTGCAGAAATGAAATACGGGAGAGCCTCACATTACACAGAGACCTGTAGCTCACACCTGGTTATTGATGGCCTTGGTGGAGGCCTCTGCCCCCACCCTCCACTTGGGAACTGCCTACTACTATGGGGGTTGGGCATCTTTGAAGTCATGTTGGAAAATAAGAAAGATGCTTCCTTTTCACTGTTTGCTCTCCCTGTCAGCCTTAATACAACCATGAGGATATACAGCACATACACATGTCCAAGAGATGCACATATATACACATACACATAGCTTCTCTCAGGCTCCATAGAAATTGCAGTTGTCCCATCTACCCTCCCCGCCCCCAGCCTCCAGCAATAAAACATGTCTGATAAAGCCAAACCATACCAATGACAGGGTCCAGCTGAGAGATATTACAAAGTTATGTTGTAGGAATTGTTCTCTTCTGGGATGAAAGGGGAAGGGGGAGAGAGCAGAAAGGACATGGTACAGAAGAAAGCAAGGATGAAGAATCACTATCCAAGCACAGTAGCCAAAGTGGCACATTTCTCAAACTTGGTACATGCTAGAAACACTCCTGTGTTCTCTGGAGGATGGGGCAGTTTGCTATGACTGCATGAGCCTGAGGCTTATGGTGGTGTCTTATAACTCTTTGGGTTAGGAAACAGGAGAGCTTTGGATTTCAAGCATGATCTCTCCAAGAAAGGGGCACTGGAAAGGAACAAGCAGTAGCTTTACTAGAGCAAATGTGCCATGGTTGTTGCACTGAACTTAGCTTTTCCCAAAAGCTGCCTTCCCCCTTTGGGTGATTGGCAGGTTTCAGGCAACAGCTACTAGGGTGTCAGTAATAAACTTGCCCCTAATCCCAAAGGTAAAAAGGATAGGAGAGTTTATAAGCTCATTCCTCTACTTTCCCATTTGTGGCCTTTGAGCATCTTTGCGGTTATTCTTCATTGATATAAAATGTTTTAGTCTTTCAGGATTTGAGAATCCAAGATAAGCATTTGCCTAGTTAAGAGAATTATCTTGACCTAATTTTCTTTTGCTTCCTTCTATTCTGATCCATAAATCTATGCCATGGGGGCTTTTACTTTGACCAAAGGAACCAAAATCTGATTACTGTATGTCATTATCATCAGCCTGTGGTAAACAGCTGTGATCAAACAGAAAGGCTATTCTGAGCAAAGAAAAAGGAAGACCAATTCATCCACAGTTTCATCTTTGACATAGTCCAAGGTGGAACTTTCCACAAGAATAACAATAATGATCATAAAACCCTTTTTGTTCACAAAAATGTGTAAACAAATATGTAATTCTCACAACAACATTGTGAAGTAGAGGTCAAACTTCATTTTATGGATGCCATTAATAGAAGTTCAATCATTTGTCCAAGATTACATGGACAGAAAGCGACTCAAACAGAACTTAAACCTACATCTTCTGACTCTATACCCTGTGTACTCCCCTCAAAGTCTGAGGACACCTAGGACTGAAGGTACCAGAGCACTAGCACTTTCAGAACAGAAACGGCAGTAACACATCCACACCCTTTCACAGTCCTACCTATATATGAGCGGAGTTTACAAAGGCATAGTCTATACCTCTCTGAGTCTCAACAAATCCTCTTCTATCAGTTTTGACAATGTCATTACCACCATCAAGAGATCACTCCACAAAGTATTTCATGTTTAAACAACTCTGCACTTAGTACTTTGTAGTCCTCCTCACCTTCAGCTTAACACTCACATTTTTTTCATCTTATCGA